CATCGTTGTCGTTTCGCCACCTATTGCTTCTACGACTATCGCTACCGCTTAGTGATAAAGTAAAGCAATTACATGGCGATTGCATTGCATACAATAAAGCGACAACCATATGGCTCCTGCCAGTTGTCGATAACTCGGTTACAAAACATGATCATCTCATACAATAAAATATAACATCACGTCTTGACCATATCACATCACAACATGTCCTGCAAAAACAAGTAAGACGTCCTCTACTTTATTGTTGCAAGTTTTACGTGGCTGCTACGGGCTTAGCAAGAACCGTTCTTACCTACGCATCAAAACCACAACGATAGTTCGTCAAGTTAGTGATGTTTTAACCTTCTCAAGGACCGGGCGTAGCCACACTCGGTTCAACTAAAGTTGGAGAAACTGACACCCGCCAGCCACCTATGTGCAAAGCACGTCGGTAGAACCAGTATCGCGTAAGTGTACGCGTAATGTTGGTCCGGGCCGCTTCATCCACCAATACCGCCGAACCAAAGTATGACATGCTGGTAAGCAGTATGACTTGTATCTCCCACAACTCACTTGTGTTCTACTCGTGCATATAACATCTACGCATAAAACCAGGCTCTGATACCATTGTTGGGAAACGTAGTAATTTTAAAAAAAATCCTACGCACACACAAGATCATGGTGATGCATAGCAACAAGAGGGGAGAGTGTGTCCACGTACCCTCGTAGACCGTAAGCGGAAGCGAACAACACGGTTGATGTAGTCGTACGTCTTCACGGCCCGACCGATCAAGCACCGAAAGCACGAAACCTTCGAGTTCTTGCACACGTACAGCTCGATGACGTCCCTCGAACTCTGATCCAGCCGAGTGTCGAGGGAGAGTTCCGTCAGCACGACGGTGTGGTGACGATGATGATGTTCTACCAACGCAGGGCTTCGCCTAAGCACCGCTACGATATTATCGAGGTGGATTATGGTGGAGGGGGCATCGCACACGTCTAAGAGATCAATGATCAATTGTTGTGTCTATGGGGTTCCCCCTGCCCCCGTATATAAAGGAGCAAGGGGGGAGGCGGCCGACCTAGGAGGAGGGCGCGCCAAGGGAGGGAGTCCTACTTCCACCGGGAGTAGGACTCCTCCTTTCCTTGTGGGAGTAGGAGAACGGAAGGGAGAAGGAGAAGGAAGGAAGGGGGCGCCCCCCTCCCTAGTCCAATTCGGACTAGTCCATGGGGATGGGTGCTGCCAACCTTTGGGGCCTTTCTCTCCTTTCCCGCGTGGCCCATTAAGGCCCAATACGAATTCCCGTAACTCTCCGGTACTCCAAAAAATACCCGAATCACTCGGAACCTTACCGAAGTCCGAATATAGTCGTCCAATATATCGATCTATACGTCTCGACCATTTTGAGACTCCTCGTCATGTCCCCGATCTCATGCGGGACTCTAAACTCCTTCGGTACATCAAAACACATAAACTCATAATATAAATGTCATCTAACTTTAAGCGTGCGGACCCTACGGGTTCGAGAACTATGTAGACATGACCGAGACACGTCTCTGGTCAATAACCAATAGCAGAACCTGGATGCTCATATTGGCTCCCACATATTCTACGAAGATCTTTTATCGGCCAAACCGCATAACAACATACGTTGCTCCCTTTGTCATTGGTATGTTACTTGCCTGAGATTTGATCATCGATATCTCAATACCTAGTTCAATCTCGTTACCGGCAAGTCTCTTTACTCGTTCCGTAATACATCATCCCGCAACTAACTAATTAGTTGCAATGCTTGCAAGGCTTATAGTGATGTGCATTACCGAGTGGGCCCAGAGATACCTCTCCGACAATCGGAGTGACAAATCCTAATCTCAAAATATGCCAATCCAACAAGTACCTTCGGAGACACCTGTAGAGCACCTTTATAATCACCCAGTTACGTTGTGACGTTTGGTAGCACACAAAGTGTTCCTCCGATAAATGGGAGTTGCATAATCTCATAGTTATAGGAACATGTATAAGTCATGAAGAAAGCAGTAGCAACATACTAAACGATCAAGTGCTAAGCTAACGGAATGGGTCAAGTCAATCACATCATTCTCCTAATGATGTGATCCCATTAATCAAATGACAACTCTTTATCCATGGCTAGGAAATATAACCATCTTTGATAAACGAGCTAGTCAAGTAGAGGCATACTAGTGTCACTTAGTTTATCTATGTATTCACACATGTATCATGTTTCCGGTTAATACAATTCTAGCATGAATAATAAACATTCATCATGATATAAGGAAATAAATAATAATTTTATTATTGCCTCTAGGGCATATTTCCTTCACTATTTTAAGTGCATCTAGTGCCCTTAGTGATTTTGGTGTATTGAAGACTTATATCTTAAGGGACTAATGTGTTTATGAGTGTACACAGGTCTATAAGTCTATGAGGAGTTTGATATTTATAGAGAAAGTCGCCCCCTAAAAATGAATATCTTCGACTGAAGATTTTGGTATTCCTGAAGACTTTCATGAAGACTTTTAAAGTGAAGAAATTGGTGTGTCCGTGAAGACTTGATATTCATGCGAGGAATATGAAGCTTGAAGACTTTCATTTTCATAGTTTTGTTTTTCTCTTTCTCGAGTCATAGGAAACACCGTACTGTTAGAGGGGGTCGAGGAAATACTAAGGAAAAATTTCCATGTGATGCTCAACTCAAAATCCTACACCTACCAATCCCTTCGAGTGAAGCCATTGGAAATCTCATACAGTTCAATCAATTTCTTTAGTGACAGAGACGAAGTTCTTCTGGTCGTTGAGGAATTTGTTCTGACTGAGGAGTTAGGAATTCGCTAGTGCGGATTGCCTACACAGTGAGGAACATGATAGCCCTGAGGAATTTGAGAGTCAAATTTCCGACCGTTGCTGTGCTGCGCGCCAGCTGTCCCAAAATATCTTATCCACCTAACGGTCATATCATCGAAGGACATTTATGTCTTATCATGTCGGGCTACTCCCTAGGCTATAAATAGACGCCCCCTACAACCACTAGCTGGTTGGCTGCTCTGAGAGAAACTGACACTCGTCATTTGAGAGCAACCCATCCTCCGAGGACTTTGAGCGAAAATCATCGAGTGAGGAAAAACCCAAACCCAACACCTACAAACCCAAAGTGATTGAGCATCACTGAAGAGATTGATCCTGCGTGGATCCGATGCTTGTTACCTTTGAAGACTGTGCTTCTTCCAGACGGTTAGGCGTCATGGTCTAGAGCATCCAAGAGGAATTGTGGATCGCCGAGTGACCGAAGTCTGTGAAGGTTTGGAAGTCGCCTGAAGACTTACCACGAGTGATTGGACGAGGTCTGTGTGACCTTAGTTCAAGGAGAATACGGTGAGGACTTGGTGTCCCGAGCTGCGTGCTCAGTGACTGGGTGTCCGGGATTGTGTGTCCTCGAGTTTAAATAATCAGCCGCTCCAACCAGACGTACAACTGAGACAGCAGTTGGAACTGGTCTACCAAATCATTGTCTTCACCAACCTTACTGGTTCTATTTCCTCAACTCTTTCATTTTCTCATTACTGTGTTGAGTGATTGTTCATATCTGTGTTTGAAGACTTTGACTGAAGACTTTCTCAATTTTCTCAGTTCAATTTCTTCAGTTTGTTTGTCTTCATCTTGTGTTATCCTGTGTTTACGCTTTCTGTACTCTGTGTTTGTCTTCATTTCATTACGATGACTATGTGTGTATTCTGTCATGCTTACTTCTGAGTACTTATTCCGCTGCAAGTAGTTCTTCGCTAAGGAATTTCCTCACCGGCAAATTCCTCAGTGAAGAATTCATAAAAAACACCTATTCACCCCCCTCTAGTCGATATAACGCACTTTCAACTATCAGGGGCATGGTGGTGGTGATTGTGACAAGGGTTGGATGGTGGTGATGGAGGCTAGGATGGGGCTGGCCCGAGCGGCAACCATGGCCCACTCTCCTTGAATTGAAACTCATTTATTGCATGGTAAGGTCATCCGAAATGGAACACTTAAAATACTAGATTCTTGAGTTCAAAATCCTAGTCATTCAGTTTGTATAAGATTTATTCCCAAACTAGAGGTTGGCATTGACGTTTAACTTCCAGTCAGACGGTTAAGTAAAAATTTAATACGTTTTTGTTGTCTAGGCACCACTAAAATGTTAGTTTTAGCACACCTAATATAGTAATTTATACTCGAGGTCATGACATTTACATAGACGCTTATATATTTCTTTTTCTTTCAACATATACATAAGCGTTCTAGCATCTAGTAGAAGCTCCTGATGCATATAAATCGAGCGATGAAGGAAATTCCTATTCTACACTCATAGGAATAAACTGCCCCTATAACGTGCACCTTAGCACAACACCTGGTGTCCTGTTCCGATTTTACAAGTTTTATCCTTTTTTTTATTTATGTCCTTTTTGGCACACGTGCGAACATTTCTTCCAGAAGTATATAAACATATTTTATTCCTCAGTTGTCAGTGACCAGTTCTTCAAAGTGCATGATTTTCTTAAAATACATGGTTTTTTTAACACATGAATATTTCTTCCATAAGCACGATCACTTTTAAAAATATGAGGGTACCATTTCCCCCCAAACACATGGACATTTTTTGTTGAGATACATGAACATTTTATTTTTCGCATTTTAAATAACTTACTTGAGTACACATATCTTTCAAGTAAAATTCTTTAGGAATAAAATAATAAAGTAAATAAGCTTGTTTTGGGCCGAGCGAGTTCCAGTTCACGCAGAGAAGAACAATGGCCTGAAACCCAAACGTTTCTGCAGGCGGCCCGCCGTTCGAGCCCACCCCACCCTCTCGTTCCATGGGCCGAGAACACCCTAACCGTAAGAGCGTACAAGCCCAATGCCCACAACGCGCAACAGCTCCACCAAACCAACAGGCGAGTTGCTCACCGGCCGGCCAAAATCGCCTCAGCCGCCTCTGGATCTGCGGCCGCGTTGCCTCGTCGCCGCCAGCATGGCGCGGGCGCGGCTGGCGAAGGAGCGGCCCGCAAGCGTGCCTGGTAAGACAGCAGACCGGAGCCGGCCGCTCCACTTCGCCGCCTTCCTGCTGCTCGCCGACGCCGCGCTCGTCGCCCTCATCGTCGCCTTCGTCCCGTGTTCGCGCCCTTCCCCTTCCCCCTCTTTCCCTCCCAGCCATCTCCCGCTCGCAGCTCACCTCCGCGCTGTTGCTTCCGTGTGCAGATACCAAGATCGACTGGGACGCCTACATGTCTCAGGTACCTGCAATCGAGCACTAAGCTCGTTTTTTTCCCTCTTTTGGGTGGAGAATTTGGAATTCGGGTTGAGCCAGAGATTCTGACTTCGGAGTGTTGATTTCGCGTGGAAGGTCGATGCTTTTCGGGAGGGGGAGAGGGACTACACCAAGATCGAGGGCGACACCGGGCCGCTGGTCTACCCGGCCGGCTTCCTCTACGTCTACTCCGCCATCAAGTTCCTCACCGCCGGCCAAGTGTTCCCTGCTCAGGTCACCTTTCCAGTGCTAAATTTGTTTGCCAGCATCGTCTTATTTTGCTTGTCTTGCTGCCGCATCAGTCATGCCGGTAGCTGTGCTGATGCAATGCGCTTTTGGGTTGTGTTTGCAGATTCTGTTCGGCGTCTTGTATCTTGTCAACCTGAGCCTTGTTTTGCTGCTTTACGTCAAGACTGAAGTGGTATGAGTGGGAAATTGATGACGTTAGTTTCACAATTCTAAACTTAGAACAGTCTTTTGTTCAGTTCAATGAGGATAACTGTATATAATTTACAAGGGACTCCAAAACCGTTTAAGTTTTCTTTTACCAGTAAGAAAACACGTAACAGATCTGTATGACCAGGCTTCCATTGGCAGCACTTCTGTAGATCTGTTTACCTGAAGTTGTTTCTGATGCCTCCCTGTTTCTTGATCATGACGACCAGCTTCCTTGGTGGGCTTTAGGTTTGCTTTGCTTATCAAAGCGAGTTCACTCCATCTTTGTGCTCCGTCTTTTCAACGATTGCGTTGCTATGACGTTGCTCCATGCTGCTATGGTCTTGATTGTCTATCACAAGTGGTACCTCGGCCTAATTATTTTCAGGTGATTACAAACTGTGTGAGTATGACATTGATTTATCATTTCATCCATGCTTGTTTCTTACAAAGTACTAACATACCATACCGTTAGTACACGCTTTTTGCTCACATTTAGTTGCAACCACCTTGCTGCAGTGGAGCTGTCTCAGTTAAGATGAACGTGCTCCTTTTTGCTCCATCTTTGTTTCTACTAATGTTGAAGGTATAGTAGTGTATGACCATGCTCTGTACCTTCATCCTATGCTACAAACTTTTATCTTACCAAGTTCTCAATAAAGGCCATGAGTATCAAAGGAGTTTTTCTTGCTTTGTTGGGAGCTGCAGGAGTACAGGTGTGTTGTGCTTTACTTTATTCATACTTGTCATCTTAGTTTCATTTAGGCTACGCTATGCTTGATGGCTCCTTCTAGCATTCCAACATGAGTTATTCATATTTCACAAATGTTATGTAGTGTTAAAAATAAATCTTTCTAGGTCTTCCTTTTTTTTTCAAGTTGTACTGACATCTGCCAGTGTGCATTGTAAGGTTCACCCTCATTTGGACAGTATGATTTATTACAATTTTCTGCTAAATGCGAATTCATTATATATGAGACTATGTATAAAGATATTTGCCATTTTACATGGAAAAACTAGTGATTATTGATGTAAAAGTGTGGCCTCAGGAAAACATGAACTTGTTGTAGTGCTGTGCTCTATGTTGCTTGGGAAGTGGCTAGATGGTCAGATGGATAAGAAGTATCTCATTTTGTCTCTAATGCTTTGCATTTTCATTCTCTAGGTTTTGTTGGGCATCCCATTCTTGTTGTCACATCCTGTTGAGTACATCTCAAGAGCTTTCAATCTTGGGCGTGTCTTCATCCATTTCTGGTGCTTATACAATACTTCTGGAATTTCAAATCATTTCAGCACTATAATTATACCCAGTATATCACATCCCCAGCTGTGGCTTCATAGATTTGTTATTGCATATATGCAGCTGTGATACAATCTTATCTGTTTTATGCTTTTCAGGTCTGTCAACTTTAAGTTTGTTCCTGAGAAGTATTTTGTATCAAAAGAGCTAGCTATTGGGCTATTGATTTTTCACCTCACTACTCTTATGGTGTTTGCACACTTCAAGTGGTTTAAGTGAGTATACTTATATTGGGTCTAATCAGTTGTTACATGCTAGAATTGTGGTAAACATATGCATGTAAAAATTTCACCATAGTTGTTCTCTAAACTGTATGGTTCTTCCTGATACTTCTTACTATTCTTGCACTTGTTGACAGGCATGAAGGTGGTTTGTTCCATTTTGTGTATTCCAGATTTAGAGATGCTACATCAATTCAACAGCTCATTTCGTGCAAGCCTAGACAGTCCATTCTCAGTAAAGAGCGTATGTTGACTCTAAAGCTTGACTTACTTGTATTCACAGCATTTGGAACTGTTCTTTTACCAGACTAATGAGATAATAACAACTTCAATCCAGATATTGTGACTGTGATGTTTGTTGGAAACTTCATTGGCATTGTGTGTGCCCGATCATTACATTACCAGTTTTATTCTTGGTAAGCACCCCCATCACCACCACCACCGCCACCGCGCAAGTGTAGCCCGGTACCTACAGATGCTGGAAATGAAGTTTGTTCTTCTGTTTGCAGGTACTTCTATTCATTGCCTTTTCTGTTGTGGAGAACACAGTTTCCAACAGTAGTAAGGTAAGGCAACACACTCCTCATCATCATTTCCCACCTGAAATCAGCATGCTAGTGCAAATCACTCATGGTCATGTTTATAGAATGCTTCTGTTCCATGAGGCACCAGTATCTTTGCATCCTTTTTCCACCTTTAATTTTTTTTCATAATCATGTGAGGTAGCTGTTTGAACAAATTACTCATAGCTACGGGTTTAGGGTAAATTGTAATAGAAATTCTTTTGTTCGCTGTTTTTGAAGATTATATGTGTTTCTCCAGGGGTGCTTCTTTTTCTAGTAGTATTCATCCTTGGTTTCTTCTGTCATGTCATATCCTTCATTGTTCCAGGATCATTTTGTTTGTTGTCGTGGAGCTCTGCTGGAACGTTTATCCTTCTACCTCCTATTCGTCACTACTTCTGTTGTTCGCGCACCTCTTCATCTTGTTCGGCCTATGGAGTTCGCCTGCTGAGTACCCCTATGCCAATAAAAAGGAAAAGGCGGACAGGGAGAGTAAAGAATCGGGCAAGGCAATGTGAAGCTTCCCTGCAGGATATTTTGATCCTTTGATGTAGCAGTATTACGAAAACCCTGATACAGACAGCAGAGAGGTCTTCTATAAATATGAAACTATGTACTTTGACACACTGTACTTTTAGTCTTTTAGTATGGTTATACTCTTGATGTGAGTCCAAGTTTCTTAAGAGGGATATCTTGTCATACCAGAGATGCAACATTTGTAAACTGTCAGCATAGATGAAAACAGTTTTACCAAATAGGAGTATGACGTTGTATTATCTTCCTTGTGTGTAGCCACTGCGGTTATACGGTCTCCTTGACTTGAACGACGATCTTCTGGAAATTTATACCAGTTAGTGGACAAAATAATCATAATGATTTTTTCCAGACAAAAGCAGTTCATCAGTTGACCCAACATCTTCATAAGGCAGAACCTGAAAACAGTAACATAAAGCTGCCATGGCAGTAAAATTTGCCCCAACCTGAATTTTGAAATAAGCAACATGTGAAATGTATCTGAAGCTCCCTTTCGCCCCCTTGACCTGCTTGCTGTTCTATGTCATTTTTCTTTTTTAAGGGTTTCTATGGCTTTTTTTTTTGAGGTTTCTATGGCAGTTTTTTTTTTTTGAGTTGATTCTATGGCAGATTGGCAGGCAAAGACTGGCTTGTCTTCTTCATGGACTCTGTCGCACAAGGCCTTTGATAAATTCAGCGGCCCACAAGGCCACAACCGAGCCCACAGCCCACAGCCCACAGGCACACTCGTTTCGTTCCGACTTCCGAACAGCCACCCCCGCGACCAAAACCTCGCTCGTTTCGTTCCCCAATCTCCTCCTACCTAGCGCGGCGGACCGGCGGACCGGCGGCGAAGCGCGGAAGCCGGAAGGCCAGCACCGCGGCAGGCAAGAGGCGGCGCGGCGCGAAGCAGCGGAGCCGGCGACCAGGTTCCGTTCTCCATCTCTTCTCTAACTCCGTCTGTAGCTCGCACCGCGGCCCGTACGCTAGCATAGGCAGGCAGTGGCTGCTGCGACCGGCTTACAGAGGGCCGACCGGGAGAGCAGAGGAGTACGTAGTACTGTACTACTACTATTTTTGCAATACTAATGGCAGCTGCTGCTTGGGTTGGTTTCCGTGAGGGAAATCTGAGAAGCCTGTCAGTCCGTCTGTCTTTTGATTTCCGCGAGCACTCACAGCAAAATTAACTGCTCGCAAATCGCCCAGTGGAACATCAAGGGGCGCACTTTAATTAGCTCCTAGTATGCCTCTTGGTGTAATCTAGGAGTAATTTGTTCACACCAGCGGGATCAGCATATATAGATAGAGGCCGGAGCCACCTTTCTCTCTCTCTCGTTTCGCTTGTTGTTGCATGATGGATCTGTCCAAGTATGTGACCTATCTGATATCCTTCTTCCGTAGGTATGTGGACGGATTAACTCTTCGTCCCAAACAATAATAATCTCCTATTAGTTTGGTTTGATGTTCCCAAACCAAAGGATGACTTGGATCATCTTCTGCTAGTAGTTTGGCTACTAAATTGCTTGCATGAGTCGAAATTTTGACCCTTCATCCAGGGCAGATGGACGTCCGTCCTTGCACCTGTAGGATATGCTTCTGGGGAAGAGAGAAAAGAAACCCATTTTCTCCAACAACTCCAAAACCGTTGCGACTTTCTCCCTTCTTTGGCTGCTAACTGGATTCGCGTATCAGGCTCAGGATCCGGGCGTTCCGTGCGATGGGCGGCGGCGGCGGCACAGAGGAGGAGCTGACGGCACAGGAGACAGCGCTCTATGACCGTCAGATCCGCGTCTGGGGCGTTGATGCACAGAAGAGGTGCGCCTCTCCCCTCCCAAGAACCCAGCTCTGCTCCTGCTATTTTTTCCTTTCTTTCTCTTTTAATGCATCATTTTTGTACTTCTGTTGGATTTTTGTGTCGGGAAAACCCTGTTTGGTCTTATGAGATTTTTTGAACCAAGATTCAGCCTTTTGGATCATATCAAACTTACCGTTCTGCTACGACTATGGATTTTCCCCTGATTATGTGAACCTGGTTTTATCCTTTCGGTAGAAATTTCTGGACTTGTTTTTTTTTCTGCCAATGTTCTGCGCTCTATTTTGTTTATTTGTAATGTCTGTCTTTTACTGGTTTTTTGTTACCTTCTGTAACACTGTTTGGGTGCATTCATCGTTTTAACTGACTGTTATATATGTGTTGCTTGGAACAGGCTAAGTAAAGCACATGTGCTTGTGTGCGGCGTGAACGGTACTACTATTGAGGTGGGTAACTAAAATTGTCTTCTATTATTATGCTTCACAGTTAATTTGCCTTTAAAAAGAACTTTGATGGTCTCCTATTGTTTATGAAAAGATAGCATTGAAAAATTAGGGTTCAAGGTGTTATCACTAGTATTTGCGGTAATGTTCTGTGTTTGCATTGCTCAAATGAATAAGTTACAATTCAGCCATTTTTAGTTTCTTTAAACTGTCTGTGTGCTAGACCGATACTTTTCTTTGTAAGCGCTTAATCTTTTTCTTTGCTAGATAAAGGGAATTAAATTTAAACTCATCGTTCCTTTCATTTCTGATGGCATATTCTTAACTTAGCTTTTCGCCCTTGTCATCTCATGTTCCATCTTGCCAATGCACACTTATTTTTCAAACAGAGGTCCCCAATTCTTCTGAACTTTAGTTGAATTTCAACAATTTAACTTCTCATATGTCATTTACAATTTAGTTAATTTACTGAAAGTACCCACATACACTAAGTTGATTTCTCTCCTACTCTGCAGTTCTGCAAGAATATTGTTCTAGCAGGAGTTGGCAGTTTATCCTTGATGGATGATCACATAGTCACTGAGGATGATCTCAGTGCAAACTTCCTAATTCCTCATGACATATGTATGCATGGTGTTAGCTCACGAGCTGAGGCTTGCTGCGAGTCCTTGAAAGATTTCAATCCAATGGTCCGAGTTGCTGTCGCAATAGGTGTGGTGTATAGTTTGATGCACTTCTTTTTGATTAGTTTGGTTATTAGATTTAAAAAAATATATTATACAAAGTGATCATGTCTTGTATTCTTGAATTGGTGTTCAATTTATTGTGTTTACTGATAATGCTGCTATAGTTGAAAACGTTCTTACAAGAAAGATCATTTTGTGATAGGAACAACTGAACAAGCAGTTATGTCTGTTTTACTAATATTGGTTCTGTAAGAGAAATTTTCAACCATTCTTTGGTGGCCATAAAATCTGAGATTCTTTTCTACAGTAATGATTGGAGAAGTTATGACTATCATGTTGTTTCCTCCAGGTGATCCATCACTAATTGATGAAGGATTCGTTGACAGGTTCGACATTATTGTAGTTAGCTGTGCATCTCTTAAAACAAAGGTGCAGACCCTTCTCTAAAGTAATATTTTCACTAGTTTCTGTTTCTTTTGTCATGTGTTCTGTTTCTTATCCTCACTGTTTTTGCATCTGTATTATGTTTCTAGTTGTTCATTAATGACAACTGCCGGAAGAGAAGCAAGCATATTGCCTTCTACTCTGTAGAGTGCAAGGATTCTTGTGGTGAAATATTTGTTGATTTGCAGAACCATATTTATCTTCAGGTATGTATTACTTATGGACATGTGACATCTAGTCTAGTGATACATCACTTACCTTTGTATTACTTGCTTTGTTTTTCACAACTACTCCCTCTGTCCCATAATATAAGAACGTTTTTCAAACTATGTTAGCTTGAAAAACGTTCTTATATTATGGGACGGAGGGAGTAGAAGTCAAAAGACATGTATGCCTTCTAAGTGTGCCTGCGATTGATCTATGTTCAGTTGTCACCTCTAATAAGATATACCTGCCTGTGTGCATATGTTCAAAGTTGTACTAATTGCTGTGCAATTAAGTTGATAAGCCATACAATGAAGCAATGGGAGAGGGTCATTGAGCACCGTTAAGAAGAATGACAAGCATGACCAAAAATCAGTTTGGTTTCATGCCTAGGAGGTCGACCATGGAAGCCATTTTCTTGGTACGACAACTTATGGAGAGATATATGGAGCAAAATGACCTACATATGGTGTTCATTGACTTGGAGAAGACCTACGATAAGATACCATGGAATATCATGTGGTGGGTCTTGGAGAAACATAGTCCCACCAAAGTACATTTCCCTCATCAAGGACATGTATGATAATGTCGTGACAAGTGTTCGAACAGGTGATGAAGACACTGATGACTTTCCAATTAAAATAGGACTGCGCCAGGGGTCAGCTTTTAGCCCTTATCTTTTTGCTTTGGTGATGGACGAGGTCGCAAGGGATATACAAGGAGATATCCCATGGTGTATGCTCTTTGCGGATGATGTGGTGCTAGTCGACGATAGTCAGAGGGGGGTTCGTAGAAAAAGTTAGAGCTGTGGGGACTTTAGAATCCGAAGGTTGCTTCGAGAACTAAAACTGAGTACATGTTTCAGTACCACTAGGCACTAGGAGGGTAAAGTTAGCATGGCAGTTAGTACCTCAGAAGGACATCTTTGCATATTTGGGGTCAATGCTGCAGAAGGATGGTAATATCAATGAAGATGTGATCGCCATCAAATCAAAGCTGGATGGATGAAGTGGTGCCAAGCTTCTGGTGTCCTCTTGATAAGAGAGTTGTTACAAAAGCTAAAAGGCATCTCTAAAAAAAGCTATAGGATGGCGATTCGGCCTATGATGTTGTATGGCGCTGAATGTTGGCCAACTAAAAGGCGACATGTCCAACAACTACAGAGATGCGCATGTTGAGATGGATATGTGGCCACACGAGAAAAGATCGGGTCCGGAGTGATATACGTGATAGAGTTGGGGTGGCACTGATTGAAGAGAAGCTTGTCCAACATCGTGTGAGATGGTTTGGGCATATACAGCGCAGGCCTCCAGAAGCGCCAGTGCATAGTGGGCGGTTAAGGCATGCTGGTAATGTCAAGAGAGGTCGGGGTAGATCAAACTTGACATTGGAGGAGTCTGTAAAGAGAGATTTGA